ACTCCTCTTCATTTTTATTGCATCATCTTTGCAAAATACGATTGCTTTCGGGAGATATTGCGCATGAGCTAACACACTAACGTAGCCAGATTGTGTACTGGCTGGTATACGCAGCCGGGACCTTACATGCAAGGTCTTCCTCTTATTTCTTAAACGATGTCTACTGATGGAATGTTATCACACAAATCTATGCTAGCATAACTCCTCTTCATTTTATTGCATCATCTTTGCAAAATACGATTGCTCTCGGGAGATATTGCGCATGCGCGCACCGTGTTAGGCGTGTAGTGTCGTCTGAGGCAAACTTCTTAATATAGCTGGCTGAGGAAGAGAGGGGATGCGAGACAGAGGAAAGGCAGCAGGGAAGATAGCTGGGGCGGTAGAAGAAAAAGGAGGCTGAGCGAGGGTCAGGGGAGGCAAGGGGAAGGACGCGAGGGCATAAAGTAGGTGTTTTGTACCCTACATACTAGGGCGCTCTCCTTATTATAATCACAGGTCTATTGATAAAAGTTTATTAGGGAAACCTATGCTGAGATACCCCATAACCATTTTAATTGCATATTCATCGCAAAATATAACTCTTCTGGTAAGATATTGCGCATGAGCGCACCGTGTTAGGCGTGCAGTGTCGTCTGAGGCAAACTTCTTAATATAGCTGGCTGAGGAAGAGAGGGGATGGGAGACTGAGGAAATGCGGCAAGGAAGATAGCTGGGGGCGGTAGAAGAAGAAGGAGACTGAGCGAGGGACAGAGGAGGCAAGGGGAATGACGCGAGGGCATAAAGTAGGTGTTTTGTACACTACATGCTAGGGCGCTCTCCTTATTATAAACACAGGTCTATTGATAAAAGTTTATTAGGGAAATCTATGCTGAGATACCCCCTATCCATTTTAAATGCATATTCATCACAAGATATAACTCCTCTGGTGAGATATTGAGCATGCGCTAACACACTAACGTAGCCAGATTGTGTACTGGCTGGTATACGCAGCCGGGACCTTACATGCAAGGTCATCCTCCTATTTCTTAAATCATGTCTACTGATGGAATGTTATCATATAGATCTATGCTAGGATAACTCCTCTTTATTTTATTGCATCATCTTTGCAAAATACGATTGCTTTCGGGAGATATTGCGCATGCGCGCACCGTGTTAGGCGTGCAGTGTCGTCTGAGGCAAACTTCTTAATATAGCTGGCTGAGGAAGAGAGGGGATGGGAGACTGAGGAAATGCGGCAGGGAAGATAGCTGGGGGCGGTAGAAGAAGAAGGAGACTGAGCGAGGGACAGAGGAGGCAAGGGGAATGACGCGAGGGCATAAAGTAGGTGTTTTGTACCCTACATGATAGAGCGCTCTCCTTATTATAAACACAGCTCTATTGATAAAAGTTTATTAGGGAAATCTATGCTGAGATACCCCCTATCCATTTTAAATGCATATTCATCACAAGATATAACTCCTCTGGTGAGATATTGCGCATGCGCTAACACACTAACGTAGCCAGATTGTGTAATGGCTGGTATACGCATCCGAGACATTACATGCAAGGTCTTCCTCCTATTTCTTAAAAAGTGTCTACTGATGGAATGTTATCACACAAAATCTATGCTAGCATAACTCCTCTTCATTTTAAATACATAATCTTTGCAAAATACGATTGCTCTCGGGAAACATTGCGCATGCGCGCGCACCGTGTTAGGCGTGCAGTGCCATCCGAGGAAAACTTCATAATATGGCTTGTTGCGGGGTAGAGGGGATGGGAGACTGAGGAAAGGCGGTAGAGAAGATAGCTGGGGCGGTAGAAGAAGAAGGAGGCTGTGCGAGGGTCAGGGGAGGCAAGGGGAATGACGCGAGGGCATAAAGTAGGTGTTTTGTACACTACATGCTAGGGCGCTCTCCTTAGCTTATTTACACAGGTCTATTGCATAAAGTTTATTAGGAGAAAATCTATTGCTCGAGATACCCACCTATCTATTTAAATGCCAGATTCGATCAACAAGATTATAATCTTCTTGGTGAAATATTGCGCATGCGCTATTCACACTAACGTGCCAGATTGTGTAATCTGATGTTCTACGCATCGGAAAGACATTACATGCCAAGGTCTTCTCCTATTTCTTAAACAGTGTCTACTGATGGAATGTTATCACACAAAATCTATGACATGATGGCACGCGACGAATGTGCTATAGTGTCCGAGAGCGGATTCTATATGTACCTTGATTTCATAATTATATAGGTTTATGTACTGAGTTGTGTTATATTTTTACCTATATGTAGTTTGATTCATAGCCAGATCGCAAGTTTTCTTTAAACCCGTCGCTTGCTGGTTTCTGATCCAGTTTATTGAACACAGACGGTTGTAGACTGCGCTGGAATCAGTGTGAATAGAAGTAAAAGCTCATTCGTTTAGTTTCACTTACAAAATGTAAAGGCTGGATAATGTGACTAAAATGGAACATAATATCTTACTAATAGTGGAAAACGGGGTCTGTGTTCAATTGTCTTTCTATCTATCCAGTCAATATAATTATGAGTTCGTTTGGAATATCATTTCTGTTTACGTGTTGGTTTTTGAAAGAAGGTTATTTTGTCTTATTATTAGGTTACATTTAAATGAGAGAATGGCGTATAAATGAGATGATGATGTTGTAATCTGGTTATTATTATTACACTAATATTAGTGTTATGTATATAATTATCTCACACACGTTACTGGGTCTTATTATTTATTGTTGAATATCTCTGCTCTAAAGGAAACATCTGATGTTCATCTTGTATATAATTATGATGCGTATTTTTTTCATGCGTTTAGACTCAAAGGCTTAATCGATTTAAGTGGCTCTCAGAGATAGAGACGCTAGATCATATGTGTGGAATATTCAGATTATGTCTACGGAATTAGCCATAAGCTCTCATATGCGCTCAGAAGTTAGGTTGTCTAGACGTCGGAAGACGCAGTGTGGATAACCCTCATCGAGCCTTTTGATTGTATTCCGATGATCAACAAAACATTATCGCTTTACACGAAGAGGAGATCATAATTTGACAGGACTCTTTTGTCCTGTTCACACAAAGCAAGCACAACACTCATCAAGATCATTTTCACACATCGTAAGAGCATTAAAGCGCGTAATTCGACGAAGATTCAAGACTCGTGAACAAACGCACAACTGGCCTACTATCGCAAATCTCTAGGAAAACGAACACTAACGCACCGGCATAACACAATCACGTTAACAATACACATACAGATCTACCATGAATCTACATCTAAACATTCAACACACGCAGTGACGCTGAATCCAACGACCCTACGACGCATATAAGAGGGTATCTTGGAGTAAGAATTTAATCACTCTCGCAGTGATATAACTAGAATTCTTGTCTTTTCCGGTTCTGATAAGTTGAATAGTCGTGTATTGTATACTGCGGGAGAGCATCGCTGTAATGATTGTGGATCTCTCTTCAGAAATCTCACTTAGATTACTCTGTGTTTCATTATAACTATCGAGTGTTTTGATTAACAAGTCACATGTAGACCTATAGCATTATTAATATCTTTGCAATGATACGTATTACTTTTTGTTTATATTTTTTTAATGCTATCATGATTTAAATTAGGTATATACAGATGATCTACTGTCACGCTCTAGTCCACGATATTTTCGAAGTGTTTAGTTAAAATAATTCAATTCTGAAGATTTCTAGTATTTCAAACATCTTAATCGATACTTATACTCCAAAATTAATATAAATGATCTAACTATAGTATGATATCGGCTTCGATTTTATTCTATCTAACATATATAAATATATACGTCCATCACGCAGACCGATAGCAACCGCACTCAGCGACAATTCTAGAATCATCTAATAATTAATTAATGATATCTAGTATTAATAGTAGATTAGGTATGTATTATAACGTATTCACTATACTCATGTGTGCGTCTGCTTCAATATTCGGACCTGTTATGTATTGCTAGATTAAAAGAACTGTGATTCAGTGCATTTCACTGTACTATCGCAGGATTCATTTATTTGAGAATTATACGAATATATGTTATCCATATACGACACAGAACACTCTTATTATTGTCGCACAAAAACCACTGTGAATTATATTATACATAGCTCAAGTGTTCGTAGTGATTATTAGTTTTTTCTTTTATATTGATTTATAGTGAACGATCCAAAATCAATCAATCGTACTAATGTTCTCGCTTATGTTATTATTAGTAAATTTGATGAGACGTTAGAACATTCTTTAATTGTGTAAGTCAAAACGTTACAAGTTATCAACTCCATAACTCGCATGTCAACTTCTTAGTCTACTTACGGAGACATGTGGATTTGTGAGTGTGTATGATTTGCTTTATTGTACATTAAGCATAATAATTTATCATATTATCGGTCTTATGCTTCCAAATCACAATGACGCTTTCCCCCTCTTTGACTTGTCTTCTCAATTCATGCGTGAATAGAGCGCGTCAAATTGTTGTTAGCATCAACTTAAGCGTTCTGGGGGCAAATCATTTTACGCTCGCTAAGGATTGACAGATCAAACGTTGCCGCGCTGTACACCTGGCGTATGATCTCGCCATTGGTCGTATAAGAGCTGCTTGACTAGGCATAGTTATTCTTTTGTGTACGTGCATTTTTCTTGGTTAGTTTCGTCATTTATTGATAGATACAGATTCGCTGTGTGGGTGTGCCTTCAATGGTGTGCGTTATTATGCGTTGCAGACGGATTTTTTTCAATTACAACATTGCACGGATATATGAATTATCGTTCGTTTAAGTGTTAGAAAACAGTAGAGTTATCTCGTTAAGCAACTAATATACAGGTCCCTATCTCATCATATAACTGTCGTTGTACTTGGTGTCCTAAGATAGTGCACCCCTATGATGTAGGCTATAGCTGTTAGCTAAGGTTGGATCCAGCGCTGGCGGACTGCGAGTTTATACCTGACTCAGGCGATTTCTATTAACCTTTGATTAATTGGTTCAACATCATAGAGTGCTTGCAGGTGTTTGTTTTATGTAGTATACTGTAAGCTCGACGCATACAATCTATGTCGCATTAGAGCCTTGTGTGACATTGGTTATGCTAGCATAGCCTCTCGATTCTGCTCTGATTGTCGGCCGAGTCCATTCTTGTGGGCGCAAATGACTGGTAAGTACATAGAATATACTTGTCAATATATTATTCTCTAATGATCTTGTTTTCTGCTAAGTCATCATCGATTAGTTTTTTTAATAAGGCATTAGAACGACCATGATTATGCATTTTAACCGGATGCCTACTGTACTGGCCCACTTGTTAGTTATAAAGTACAGTATATACTTGATTAAAATGCTCAAACGGTCGATAATTAGTTTGTCACATAAACATCTATCTTGCTGAGTTTACTAAAGGAAAATTGCTGCATATTCGAAGGGAGGCCGCGTCAAATAAATCGTTAGTTTAGACAGTTACCAACCCGCATGGCCTCGCGTCCGTAACCGGGCGATGGTCAGGGGTTGTCATAAGATGGTCGTAGAGTGTGTGCACCGGACATTTCGCACGTGATGCTCGGCGTCAGTGATTCGATCCTTGTGCGTTAAGGCGCAATTCCGTACCGTTTTGGTTTTACTCTTGGATTTGCGGGTTGAATGAATATACGAAATCTGAGTTAGTTTACGAATGCCGAACATATAATATGTCGAAAGGATATGCCGTCACTAGGCAAACAATTTACCCGGCGACATCAATTTCGATGCGTCAACATCCTGTAGCAACATGTGCAGGCACCGAACCGAAATCGAATGGCTTGATTTTGTTGGCAATTAAATTTAGCGTTGGCGCTCAGGTGCGCGATTAGCAGAATTTGGGATGAGAGCTTGCTGTGATTAGACATTTCTTTGTATAGTAATAGCATGTGTATATTACTCATAAGTAATATACGGACGTATTGGCCTATATAATGAGTATAATTATATTAGTCTTACTTAACTACATGATATATAAGGTGCCGTTCACTCGTTAGAATATTCATATGTCAACTTTGCATAATCGATGAAATTTATATGTACTATTTAATACTCAATATTATAAAAGTAATTGAGATTCTAAATGCCTTTATTAAACCAAATTAAACAACGCACGAGATTTAAACACCAAAACATGATCCAGCAACAGCTCGTTCTCTATCACATACTCACTAATCAGATCAAGATTGACTCTATGATGTATTACACACTAGACTGTTAGCACAGCGATGTCAGCCGCACAACGTCTACATCGCAACATACTGCCAACATAGGGAAACATATTCCTCTCAACATAATGTAAATCAAATAATACAGGAGAGTGTGGAGAATCTCATCTTACGTGAGATATTAAAATCTCATTTGGGTATAGTAAGCTCTCATAGTTGTCATAACGACAACTCAGAAGACGCACCGTCATGTCTCAGACTATATGATCGATGATATATCAGCACACGAGCGCACAGTTACACACACTAACATACACGACTCATACGCACGCACTCGGACAGACCCATATAGGCATTGACACCACAAGGTACGATATCATACAGTCGAAGCAGTGCGCACTACTGCACGTCTACGCGGACGACAACTAACACAACGCTCGATTAGCACTATCTCCAACTCCATCACTCCACACACCTACACCACACTTCACACACAACACAACACACATACAAGTACATATGTTATCACTCATATTTTGAATTATGTCGTAATAGTGTTTTAAGTATAGATCGTTTTAGAGTGTAGAAAACATTAAATTTTTTGGTGTGTGTATGTTATTTGTGTTTGGATAATCGTATTATTTGGTTCTTCATAATCTGGATTTGATGCGTGGCGAATTGAGACTATAATCGCATACGCATTTTCGATTATAATTCATCATCGGGACATGCACTTAATCTATATAGCCCGCTTACATTAACTGCCGCTGGCAGCGGGCTAGGTATGTAAGCGGGGCTATTCACGTACTAGAGCTATTGGTTACTGTGGTATTTTGGATCATGCCTAGTAAATGAGGTTGGTGTAGTATAATCGCCTTGACCGCACATCTCAATTTTCGAGAATGGCAGTGGCAGTCGCTACTGAAATAATTGTGCTCTGTGGCAGTCGCCACAGGAAGCTAGACTAGGCTCCGGCCAATGACAAGCGTTGTGGCTTGTGTGTGTGTGTGTGCATTTAGATAAAACAGGTTTAGGAAGATGATTGATCACGTACTATATACTGTGATATAATAGAATATTGGCACAATTACTGCTCGAGTGTGCGTGTGATGTACGGTAGCGTCTGGTACGTGAAGCTCTTTTGGCGTTAGGGGTTAGATTTAGGGTTTTTTTAGCGGTCTAGTTTGGGTTAGTCTAGCCTCATCTAAGACTGCTCAAATCGTGAATTTATTTCAAGGCGTTATTCGCAATCTGTGCTGGCCACGGCGTCGCATCTTTGTTCGTTTAAGTTATTGAAACGCCCGAATGTGGTTCTGCGTGGTGACGTGACGTATCGGGCGTGTGCGTGTTTTGCGTATATTAATACATAGTGTCTATTATTCAGGTACTCTGGATTTATAGTGAATGATTGATTGTGGTGCTATGATGTTGTTATAGTCTTTTGGTCGTGTGTTGTGTGGTTTGTACAATCAGATCGTAATCGTGTTCGTTGNACACACACACACACACACACACACACACACACACACACACACACACACACACACACACACACACACACACACACTGACGCGCGTACGAACATACCAGTACAAAAAAAACATATGCTCGCACACAAATAATTCGGGCAAATATTTCCGTGATAACTACAGATTTTTGCGTCGAATAATTTAAATATCATGTATAAGTAGATAAATTAAATGTTTAAAATAAAAAATATACAATATATTCTACTCTAACAAAAATTATTAACAAACATTAAATGTATTGTTGATATTTCTACCACCCGATGGCGCTGTTACAGGCGCTTCTAGAAGTTTCACGCTTGTTAAAAATCGTTCGCCGATCTCATCTTTTCCGCTGATTCCTGGTTCCTACGTTATTTTTGAAAGGAAAGCTATACAAGTATATTTACTGTCTAAACATCCACGCCTATATCAAGATCTACGAATAATGACAACCCAGGAGCAGGTACATTGAAGGCGTATTTAGTTTTTGTTTTTATTTTTACTTTTCGCTTTACCGGTCACGTTTTCGGTTTCGCAACTGTGAATACGGACTAGTGCCGCTGAAGGGGTCGTTGTCGTATCAGTTACTACGTACGGGTACATTAATGTATACAGAAAGTGTACCAGACTTGTACAACTGACGTGTACCCTAACCCTAAACATACCTCATAAAAATATAGACTTAATACTAAACAACCTAAAACTACCGCTCAAGTGGTCGTTGTCGTATCTCAGGTACTACAGATATGCACCCGAGGTACATATATGGGCCCAAGGATAGAGAACATGGGTCCCCATAAAACCAATGTGCCTAACTCTAGCCCTAACCCTAATCCTAATCCTAACCCTAACCCTAACAATAACCCTAACCATAACCCTAATCTTTATATTGATATAATATTATATTTATATTGATGTAAATGACATTGGTTTTATTGGGACCCATGTTCTCTATCCTTGAACCCATATGGCCATACACAAAGTGTACCAGACTTGTACTACGGAAGTGTACCCTAACCCTAACCCTAAACATACCTCATATAAAAATATAAACATAATACTAAACAACCTAAAACTACCTCGGGTACATATCTGTAGGCTAGTACCTGATATGACAACGACCCCATCTGCAAAACTACCTCGGGTACATATATATATATGTAGTACTAGTACCTGATACGACAACGACCCTTCGTGCACTAGTGCCAGTAGTGGTAGTACATGCCGACGCACATTGATTAGGAATAGACATCAGTGCAGAGTAGTGAGATACATCATACACTTTAATTGGGCTAATAACACGGGCACTTGAAGCGTTTCAATAAAATATAATGCTAACTAAATACGAAATCTATTTACTTAGTACAAAATTCTTAATGTTTCTATACTATAGGTCTACTCTCTTTCACCTATTATCGCCGATAGTTTCCTACCATTGCATTACCGGCAGCCATTGCTCTCGTGGCGCGACTGTTGCACGCTTGCACTAATATATAGAGCAGGTGAAAAAGCGCGATTCCAAAATTCGCTCGATCGCTCGCTGCATTTCTAACGATTTCAATACAAATACTCATCCAACAGCTTCCATCTCTGTTTCTCCTTCAACAACAGTGTTCACTTGTTATAAAAACATAATGTCTCTGTTCGTAACCGAGCTGTGTCACACGAAATCACAATATTTAATTCTACTCAGGAGCATGATTAAATCCACTAATCATAATTAGTTGCTAGTACTAGAAGTAGTATGTAGGTGTACTAGTATATTAAGTACGCTGCAGATTTTACAATTGGAAATTTTACTTCAATTTTTTCCCAAGGAAATTTAAATTATCTAAGATTAGCTGTACTAATTTAGTCATAATTGCAAATTAATTCCTTTTCATGTACCGAATTTGCAGATACTTTGGCGTTGTCCGCCATTTTGAATACAGTGTAATTCATGTTTAAGTCGGCTAATTATGTGATTAGTTAAATATGTACTTAAATCGCTTTGTGAAACAGATTTTTAAGTATGATTAACTAATCATAATTACAGGAGGTTAAGTATGATTAGTGATTTAATCATAATTAAAGTTAATCAACGCTCGCTGAAACGCCCGATTTTTTTAGAGTATGACTAACTAACATAATTACAGAGGTTAATTATAGTAAGATGATTTAATCATAAAATTAAAGTTAATCAACGCTTCGTGAAACCGCGCCCTGGCTCGCTCACATTGGAGACTGTGTCTCTCCGTGGCTTCGGATGTACCCACGTAAAATCGGTTCTACCGTCTCCAGTAATACGGAAAGTCCAATGGGACGTAAAAAGAAGCACTGAGGCCGCAAAAAACAAACTCTGCTGTGACGCACACGCCTCAGCTGCACATCAAGTGCCATTCCTGATAGCTAATAATAGCGGCTGTCGGCAGACAGACGAGGAGTGGCGACCCCCTGTCTGGTATAACTACAGAAAGGATATAATAAACAAACTTCCGGAGGATACTCGACATAGATTATAATTATTATATAAGCAGTCGATGCATTAATCCAGTAATAAGATACAAGCCACAAACTCAAGATGAGGTGAAACGAGTGTGGTGCGTGTGAGTGAGTATTAGGTAAATGGAGTTGTGTGTGTTCCACTTTCATAGGGGCGTCTCATACACTCACCATACCGAGGTTGTATGAGACCCGCTCCTGGATGGTACAATAGTCCTGACTGCCAGTCAGCTAATCCATGCGCTACAGCGACCATGCTAATGATGTTACAGAGGGCTGTGCAGTTTAGACTTAACTGCCTTCGTTTTTTATATTATTAAATATCGCTTAAAGTTATTTGTTAAATAGAAATTGGAAAAAAGAAAGAATGCTAATAGTTGAAAAAATTAGGAGTTTAATGCAAAATAATGAAAATATAAAAATAAGATAAACATTTCAATATTTTGGGAATCGAAATCGAGAAGAATTCGAATCCGAGAAGACTAATATTGAGCTATCGGAATCGAATCGAGAGTGCTTGTGTTATTCTTACAGCCATATTATAATATATTATGCATATAGGTAGGAAGTGTTTAGAGTCTCCCTGAATTTTTTAGAAGCAATGTTAGCGCAACGTCAAATCCGCGCCTGGTTCTAAATTGTTAGTCATTTGACGCCCGATTTGCTAATTTGGAGGCATTTATCATGTTCTAAGTTGCCCTTCCCAATCAGTTTTCAGAACACCAATATATCCATCAAAGACCAAAAACAAGCGTGATCGTGCATTAGGATGTATCAAAAAGTAAAACGCTCAGTACCCGACGCTGTTAAAAGCCAGGAGAAAGCCTGGGTAGCAGCTAGCTAGGCTAGCTAGGTAGATCGCATTGGGTTAGAACTTAGGATAGATGCATGGAATGATGGATGTAGGGATGAGATGAGATACGATGATGGGATTGGGTTAATCAACTTATATCATGGATAGATACTAATCAAATTCTCAGCAGGTCCTAGGTTTTACAATTCATGTCTACTCCAACATGACTTAAACGTGAAGGTAATATCATATGTGACATTCTATAAATCCTAACCAGTAACATGCCTTAGATGTCAAACTTTACGCGCCTTAAATTTTTGACTGTTTTTGAAATCCCATCACAGTAATTCTAAAATCGTATACACTTTGTACTGTAAAAATATATCTATTTATTTATTATCGACTTTATTTATTTTATTGGGCCACAATATGACACATATTACTAATTCTACTTATTTAATGTTCTGTTTTGTTTGTCTCGTTCTGTTTCGTGTTTTTTATCTTCTTGTTCCATATTGAAAATGGTTTAAAAAATAATACGCAGAATGCTTTCATCATTTTTTACGCAATCATTTTTAGCTCATCCTTGACTATCGTGTCAAGTCCGTGAGCATTGCCATGGGTCGTCGTAGCGTCCGTCCGTTCCGTTCCCACACACCTCAAACTATTGTCTTCGTCAACAATAACTCAGAACCCGTTTGGCCCACATTTCTCTTAAAATTGGTATATTTGTACTGCTATGCCCCATATTAAACGTCTATTTTGGATAAGCACGACAAGTCGACGTACTTCGAGCCACGCTAATTTTTGGCAAAAATGGGAATTGCCATAGTCATTCAGGTTTTAATGATTTTTGCTCAATTTTGGTCGGGGGGGGGTTGTGGGCTTATTGATGAATAAGGCTGAGGGTTTTGATATTAAAAAAAAATTATGCAAATTAGGTAGGTTTGCAATTATATAGCATATTATATAGACTACAAACAGTCTGTGGGTCACACTCGTCTGTTCGTTTTACAAATTTGCATTGACAATATCATTAATGCAAATTGGTATTTCCTACTCCACCCTGCGATAAAACGCTATATTACGAGTAAGAGTTTACAAAACGAATTGTCGGAACGCAGCAAACCTAATTTATTCAAACCCATCGCTACAAAGGCAGGTATAGGCGCCAAAAATCTTCACGGTCACAAAATGGATTCATTTTGGTTTATAAATTATTATTTGCGATTACAGATGGCAATTGTTCTTATAATGTACGTCGATGGTTGCTCAATTAAAACTGACTTCTTCTTACTCACTCATTTGTGTCCTTTTTTGTGGTGAGCTACAGTGTCATTGACACTTTCATTGTATTTTCTCAGCCAGTCTGATACTTACCGTTGCTCCTAATGCATAACACCAAATATATATATTATATATAGTAAAGCTAACGTGTCAGAGAACACTCGCACATCATTCTTTCCTCCAGTATGTGCACCAATCTGCATTTCAAAATATATTTGGTTAAACATGTCAACAAAACTAGCAGTAGCATGCGATTTTTGCTATCTCGAGACCAGACCACGCTGTCTCTACACCACGTTAATTACCTTTGCATACATTTCGAGATGAGTACCAACCTATAACTATTTGCGTCATATAACTACATGCACTTGTTTTGTGCAAGCATTTGGAAATTCCCCAATCGCGAATCTCAAGATTGCAGGTGCACATTCGCTGTTCATTTACTGTTTTATACTTTATAGTTTATAACAGTAGAAACTTGTAATAATTTTTATGCTGAAGTAATCAGTAACATGTATGCTGACAGCCTGACAGGTGAGTTTAATTTTGTCTAAATTGATTCATTGTTTGATTTATTTGAGAAATTGTTTTACATTTTTTTTAAATCAATGTATCGGGGAGGACAGCACACCCAGGACCCTCCCTTATCCGCCCATAAGTAGAATGCTTTCTGTAATTCCTAGGGAGAACCGTGGATGGATGGATAAATTGATTGATTGATTGATTGAGGGGTCAATAGTTCATAATTGTTTATTAATAAATCAGTACTTTGTTCAAACTACGTGGTTAACCTTGCTTATTTCGACTTAAACTGAGACTATTGTTTGCTCTTTAATAGTTCATGTGCTCTTGATCTTTTGTAAGTACGCAAAAGTGCTGCACACATTTACTCCATGTTTTATACATTACATGTACACTGTTAAGTGTGTAATTCACAGGCACTTTTGAACTATATCTGCTATTTTGGGTGGTGATTATGGTTTTGTACAATTTAGGCAGTCAAGGAGAAGCAGCTGGGAAATGAAGCTTATAAAAAGAAAGACTTTGAGACGGCTTTAAGCCACTACGCACGTGCAATTGAGCTTAATCCAACAGACATAAGTTTCTACACCAACCGTGCAGGTAAGAAGTGACTACCAAGGCTATCCAAAAACCAGCCATAATAAAGAAAAGGTGGTCATGACAGATCATGTTTTGCTTGACTATATTTATTTAGAGAGGCTACTGAGCCTTTTACATTTTATTTTATTTTTTGTTGTCGCATCATGAAGGTGTGGAAGTTGAACACAGCATTCACATAGATCTATTGATATTTCTTGCATTATACAGCCGTGTACTATGAACAGCTGCATTATGACAATTGCATCAAGGAGTGTGAGAAAGCTGTGGAGGTAGGGCGAGAAAGCAGAGCCGACTTCAAACTCATTGCAAAGTAAGTGGTCAAGTTGTTTTAGCAGTGTGCATCAGTGGTTTTCAGTAATAATTGTATCCCTCGCGACGAAGTCGGCAGGTATACTATGGTTTCATGTCTCCCCAGCTGCCGGCGCCGCAGACAATTTCCTTTCCGCTCTATAACTCGACCCCTAATTGACCTAGCGCTACCAAACTTGGTATACTTACACATCTTGGGGAGATGGTGAGCAGCGTACCAAAACCAGGTCACTGCAACCTTTATTTGGCCTTTACCTTGACCTTTGTCATATTTCCCTTCCACTCTGTAACTCGGCCCCTAATTGACCTAGCGCTACCAAATTTGGTATACTTACACATCTTGCGGAGAAGGTGAGCAGCGTACCAAAACCAGGTCACTGCGACCTTTATTTGACCTTTACCTTGGTCATATTTCCCTTCCGCTCTCTTACTCGGCCCCTAATTGACCTAGCGCTACCAAACTTGGTATACTTACACATCTTGGGGAGAAGGTGCGCAGCGTACCAAAACCAAGTCACTGCGACCTTTATTTGACCTTTACTTTGACCTTGATCATATTTCTCTTCCGCTCTATAACTCGGCCCCTAATTGACCTAGCGCTACCAAAACCAGGTCACTGCAACCTTTATTTGGCCTTTACCTTGACCTTTGTCATATTTCCCTTCCGCTCTGTAACTCGGCCCCTAATTGACCTAGCGCTACCATACTTGGTATACTTACACATCTTGGGGAGAAGGTGTGTTGCGTACCAAAACCAGGTTACTACGACCTTTATTTGACCTTGATCATATTTCCCTTCCACTCTATAACTCGGCCCCTAATTGACCTAGCGCGACCAAACTTGGTATACTTACACATCTTGGGGAGAAGGTGAGCAGCGTACCAAAACCAGGTCACTGCGACCTTTATTTGACCTTTACCTTGACCTTGATCATATTTCCCTTCCGCTCTGTAACTCGGCCCCTAATTGACCAAACTTCGTATATCAATATAAAAGTCTTGGGGAGAACACCGGGCGATACATGTAGTTGGCGACAACTGCCCTTTCTAGTTGATCAAGGGTTCAAAATTCAGCTCTTAAGTGAGAGCAGGGAAATATTCCACTGCCATGTCCTATGCCATACTCGTTGACAGTCATTAAAATTCAGTTTACTGTGCAGTAATTACGTAGATGACACATAGCGTAATATAATTATTTGAAAGTAACCGTATTTCATTTTGAAATTTTGTTTGTTATTAATCATGTGAATAATGTAAAATTATGCATAGTTATAAATACATCACTCATAGTTGAATATAATTATCGCCTCTATATAATATATAGTGGTTAAATTCAATCAATCTTGAAATAATAATGTAAAATGAATTTTACCTTTGAATGGTATTGAATGTCTAATGAATTTAGTTCTGTAGCCTAGTGAAATGCTGTTTATGTTATTGGTTTTGCAAAACTAACATGAGTTTTTATTATATTTACATGGCACACAGATAGTAATTGTATCATAGCAATTCTATAATAGGCATTTACTAGGGGTGCACCGGATCCAACTTTTTAACTGTTCCGGCCGGAAGGACCAGCCGGAACTTGAAGACGTGTCAGCCAGGAAATTACCTACGGCAGTAACCGAGACTTAAAGGGATCCTTTTACTCTAAGGTTTAGGAGTTAATTTTCAGTCTACATTTAGGTAAAAAGTTTGACGCATACATAAAAAAGTTTCATGGTTCAATACAATTTAGAATATTTTTATTTTTAATTGTGGTCAATAACTAACGACTAGACAGTTTGATTACAACGCAACTTGTGTGGCGCCCACTCACGACCGCGCACGATCTGACAAGGTTGCGCAAGAACGGACTTTTTAGCAAGGGCTACAGCGAGGGTGTTTCTATATTTATTATGATTTAAACAAGCAGAAAAAAGATTGTAATATCTTATTAAAACGACATTATAAGTTTCAGTTAATATTATAGCGATAATTTGTCCTAAATGAACATCGCAGCTCGGTTAAATAGACAAATTTAGGTATAAATTAACTATACCTTTGTGATTTAGCCCTCCAGGTCACTAAACCTGTGAAAAATATTATTTGGAAATGGCAACTTTTTAAGACGGTGGCAGCACGGTCGGGGGTGTCAATGGCCGCCGTTCAAACTTCGTAGCCGTGTTATGATATAATTAATTATACAATTAACATTGGTATTGGTACAAGTAAGTGTGGGTATAGACCTAGAGGATTTGTGTATAACAGTAAGTACAGTGTATCGCCAGTAACAAATCCTTAGCAGTTCAATAGTCCCTTTAACACGCTTCAACGCTGCCGGTGTACAATGCACTTTACGCCTGCAGCTGGAGGTTTTCGTTGTTTTGATTTACGATATTTCATTATTGATTTACCACGAGTTTCCTTTTGCGAAAGCTAAACAAATCTGACACATTTACTCTGCAATGAGTGTTATTCACCATTACACTTCAAATGTATGAAAATCATTCCCTTCTAATCATTTTGACATATGAAAACACGATGAGAAAACGGACATTTCATGCATTTTCGTACTCCAATGCCACGCAACGGGGGATTTTCATGAGTTTGTTATGATAATCATTAGACGTATATATTATTCCCGAAAGAACATGTGACAACGCTTAACTGGTAGTGGGGGTTATGAACTTGTTTTGTTTTTTTCTAACATTAGCAAAACAATACCTCAAAAATTTTATTATACACAGTTATTATAATTACTATATGTTAAGGAAAACTGGTAAACAAACCTAATTGCTTCGATCTAGCGCACTTCTAGTTTTCTCCTTTATACCGAATTTACCTTGAGTCTCAAAGACTCATAATTTACGCCCATTGATAATGTTTTTAAGTATCATTTTGTAAGACTGGGTAAAATGTTGGACGTGTAACTCTGTTTAATTGTCTAGGTAGGCGTAGTGACCTAGCAGTCTGTGTGGAAAATTCAGGAGTACAAAAAACCAATAATTATCAGCGGCTGGATCTCGTGGCATCTGCTGGGGATGATGATTTTGATTGATTCCAGAGCTGACTCGTGGAATTATCGGGGAACGTGTTAAGCTCGGCGATAAACTTGACGCGTTTATGGCCAGTATTGTGCAAAACTCATTTCAGTATTAGTTAGATGCACATCACTCAGGGAGAGTTAGGAACATGTCGATTGTTACATGTTTCTCATTATAAGTGCATCTTCATAGTTCTCGATTACTGTCAATGTTCTACTGTTCTCATGTTCATAGTTTCAATTTATATACATGTTTACTCATGTTACATATATCACATTTAATTGTTCTTCATTTGTTCTCAATGCTACAAAGTTCGTATTACAGGAATGTGTTGCGTTGGGTGTCATGAATCATCTGCTTACACCAGTGCATAATTCTGGCAAGTCGATGTAGAATTGTGATGACAAACTGATGTCTTGGCAGCTATACACTTGGTTTTAAGGCCGGACACACCTAGAGACGATTAAAATCCGCGGCGATGAAATCGCCTGAAATACGCCTTAGTGTGTCCACTCAATCGCCGACCTTTTCATCCGCCCGCGGATTCATCGCGAGTATTAGATTCAAAAACGTTTTGATAATTATCTGGGGATATTTGTCGGCCCGATTTCTGCGCTAAGTGTGTCACGGGGCCGATACGATAACTCGCGCGATTGTACAATTAATCAGCCAATGGGACCAACAAGGTGTATGCATAATTTTCTTGATTCATACTGAACAGAAGTGAACACCTGCCGTCAGGTGAGCGCTGTCGCTCTGCGGCACTTGTTTTTCAGTACAACGGCGCTGCGTTTTGCTGTGTCGTGTCGTGCCGCGTGTGTGGAGACGGGCCTTCATCCACCGGCGATTTAATCGCCTAGTGTGTCCACTCGACTCGCGCGATAGAATCGGGCAATTTTGTCGCCCGATTTTATCGCCCGATTTAATCGCCTAGTGTGTCCGGCCCTTTAGTCGATTATTTTCAACTAACAGACAGATGCTATTCCTGTGGCTCTAAGAGTAAGAGTATTTTATTTTATAAGAAAATCTCGTGAATCACCCAATATCAGTTAGGTTCAGTTCAGTTAGTTAGCTGATGTTCAAGTGGCAGGTTCAAGTTTTTTGGGCGGAATAGTGTGAAGTTGTTAACACTATATTGTCAGCAAGTTGACTCTACTGACGCTCAACTACATGCAGTCACTGATCTTTTGATCTTGATGACGCTTGTAGCAGAAATGAATTTAGGAAATGGTTCCGATTCTGGCCAACTGTTCCTGAAGGGTTCCGACCAGAACCAGAACTCTGAAAAATTGGGGAGTCTCCGGCCGGATCCAAGTTCTGGTGCACCCCTAGCATTTACATAACTTAAATAATCAATAACTATGGAAATTTGTTATGATTCCAGGGCACTAGGAAGGATTGGAAATGCCTACATGAAGAAGGAGGATTATCATAAGGCAGCTACTTACTTTGACAAGTCACTTGCTGAACACAGAACTACAGATGCCCTGCATAGGCGACAGCAGGTATATTAAAAAGCCACATAGTGATAAATGCATGCTCATACACATTTTAACATGTTTTTCTATTATTGAGCTATGTTAGTGAATCGCTGTGTGATTAATTTTAGTCAAGGTGCATAATCCCCGCTATAGTTTATTCCTAAATATTATCAATACAGTCTATAAAAGTATTGCTTTAAACAAGGTATGCACAATACTGTTACATGCAGTGGCCAGTGTATGTGTAATTATATATTGCATTTTAACTATTACTACAGGCAGAGAAAATGAGAAAAGAAACTGAAGCTAAAGCTTATATAAACCCAGAGAAATCCTTGGAAGCAAAAGAACAGGGAAATGGCTTTTTCAAAGTGGGTAAGTGCTAGTGGAGTGCATTTGTTCCAGAGACAAAGGTTACATTGACAGTAGCTAAAGATGGAGTGGTATGAAAAAAAATTTATATTTTTAGCTCACCTTGACATTGTCAAGATGGGCTATTGCCATGGGGCGTTGTCCGTCGTACGTCCGTCCGTCCGTCAACATTTGGCTACGGTCAAAGATAACTTGAGAACCATTTGACCCACATGTTTCAAATTGCATACAGTTGTTACTTCTATGGGAGAGGTGTGAACGTCCTATTTTGGGGCACGCCAGTTGACCTACTTTTGAGCCACGCTTATTTTTTGGCAAAAATGGAAATGGCCATAAGTCAGTTCAGGTTCAACGGATTTTGCTCATTTTTGGTATGTGAATGAATAACGACTGGCCCCAAAACATATCACAGGGGTTTTGATTTTTTTTTATATTATGCAAATTAGGTATATTTTAGCAATTTCACTATGCATTTCAGTGTCTGCCTACGGTCTACGATAACTCAAGAACCGTTTGACCCACATGTTTCAAATTGCATACAGTTGTTACTCCTATGGGAGAGAGTTGAACGTCCTATTTTGGAGCACACCCGTCAACCTACTTTCGAGCCACGCCCACTTTTTGGCAAAAATCGAAATTAACCACTCGCGAAATTGTCCGTCAAGTCTAAATTTGTGAAAAATATCTGTACACGAAAAATATGGCGTATACAGTATATTTATTCATGTAATTAAATCCATTCTGTTTATATACTAGCAATCGTTCTTGTTGTTAGTGATCTTATTCGGGGAGGGGGTCAATATTTCACGTGTTCTCAATTGCGGTCTTTTTATTTTTGTTCCCATGAAACATTTTCCATGACGTAAATAGTTGTAATAACTATTGAAATTATGCATCACTCAGCATTTTCTTGTTTTCTGCTGTGCCCTAGCTATGTCTCTTTCATTTATTAGTGATGTAATCTGTTGAATCTTATTGAAGCCTAATTGCACTAATTGACAGGTAATTACCCGGACGCTTTAAAAATGTACACGGAAGCCATCCTTCGCAACCCAGAGGATAGTAAATTGTACAGCAATCGTGCTGCCTGCTACACAAAGCTAGCCGAATTCAACCTAGGTCTGAAAGACTGTGACATGGCAATCAAGCTAGAACCAACGTTTGGTAGGTTGTTGGTGTCGTAGATATTTTTTTTCTACACATTACACAGTGAGTAAGGTAGTTGAGTGGATTGTGTCTTAAATGTCCAGGGGACGAGTCCAATTATTTACACTGACAGAAGTGTCGGTAATAGTTTCTAGACACATTTACATGCGGGAAAAATCATTAGCGGTAAATAAACTAACCAGGTGTTTTAACTTTACAATTACGAAAAACTATCGATAATACAGTTAAATATCGGCGATAGTTATTGGTAGTTTACTTTGCTATCGATTTATTACTATTGAGCCAATTACTATCTCAATTAAGCGATAGTTTGATGCATCGTTAGTGATTTCTATATTATTATCTCGATGCCATTAGCAGACCTGCCAACCCTTACGATTTTTTCGTATTCCTTACTAATTCCAAGATGTTTTTACGAATGTACGATCAAACTGAAAAACTTACGATATTTTATGACTTGAAGATTAAAGTGTTTTTTACATTGTGAGCCGAGAAATATCTGGCGATTGTGGGCGCAGCCATATTGTTCATGTTGTTCTCACGTAATCTAGAGTTAGTCCCATCATTCATTGCGTGCATAACATACAAACAAAATGGCTGCCTGCTGCAAGAAAAGAAAAGCCTTACTATTTTCATGAATCACAGGTTGGCAGGTCTGCATTAGTCACCATATAACATGTTATTTCGTGTGGATATCGTCCATATTTCTTGTCAACAGTACGAGCATACCTCAGAAAGGCCAACATTTTGATGGGACTAAAAAATATGAGTGATGCAGCAAAGACATTCCAGAAGGCAATAGAACTGGATCAAAACTGCCAGGTGAAGCTAAATATGTATTTGGTTTACCATACATGTGTTCATGATAGTGTGAGTGATTGATGTTGCAGATTCATATATGGATCTATCGGATAATGCTGATCATTAGCATTGAGTAATATATGTTTGTTCTTTGTCATGACATGACTTAAAAAGTCAATGAGATCATAGATTCAGTTGAACAGTGAGTACAGGAGTTAGCGTAAATCGACAGTCCAAATACTAACTGTTTTACTCCCATGTACTCCCTCATTTGACACCAGCATGTGTACGCGATTCATAAAAATTCTGCTCTATATAATACCCTTGTCACACCTACCCGCAATCACGCTAGCGCAGCCACTGCGACCTAAAAAGTATGAAAGCGTGAGGAAAAGCGTAGTGATGCTTTGGTGACGCAGTGGAAACTGTCAAGGATGGAAGAGGGTCGCAAGTAACAAGCTCTAATCTCATAAAGATGAACTCAATTAACAATACTAACAAAAGCTATGATCTCGTCGTGCTGATTTTGTGTTGTTGTCATTGTCACAGGAGGCGCTCGAAGGATACAAGAAGTGCATGATGACGACGAACGACCCGGAGGAGGTGAAGAAGCGCGCGATGGCCGATCCCGAGATTCAGAAGATTCTTGCCGACCCGGCGATGCGGATGATCCTCGAGCAGATGCAGCGTGACCCACGCGCACTAGAGGAGTAAGTGTCACGTTGCTACTAGTGATGGGAATCGGTTGGAATTTCATCATCGATCGTCATCTGCACCCAACCGATCGATGATCGAAGATAATCGGTTGAATGTTATTGATCACGGCTACCAGATATTATAATCCATCCTTGGGACATCACTAGTATGCTACCTTGTCAGGGGTTTGCTCCATACGAGGGGATAGTCAGTACCATAAAAAAACAACTACAACGCAGCTGATAGTGTTTCGATTGTGGTTTACGTGGTGTGGACATCTCCTCACCCCCTCACTCATACAAGGATGTACAACTTCATGGCCGCGCGATGTACAATACTGAATTTAACTGATAAATGATGAATACGCGACACTACAAGTATTATATATGACAACCAGGGCTCGAATTAAGCGACGAGAAGGGCAAGGCAATTTTTTTAGGGCATGTGAGAAATCGCCTTGAATTTTCTCTAAAATGGAAGGGCACAGAGACAATTTTAAAAGGCACCAAGGCAACTCTCAAAATTTGAGAAGGGCACAAAGGCACTTTTGTAAAATAAAGGAAAACTCAACAAATTAGTACATCAACATCGTCTTGCTTTTAATGTACAAAACAATATGCCCCCATGTAAGCTTACACGGTAACACCGACCCCTGTACCCCCCTCTGCTAATGGAAGTACAGTAACAAAAAGCTCCTAAACAGCTTTTACATGCCCGCTATCAGGAGCGAATAATTATCCGATGCTGTTATTATTCCCTCCTGCGATTATCGGTTTTAAACTCATCATTGCAACTACAGCACGCACGCGCACGTGTTATGTTGACTCGACTAAAAACGAAACTAGGGCAGTAGATTAAAGGGCACCGACGGCAATTACACAAAAGGGCAAGGCAGGTGACTGCCGTCGGTCAGGTTGGATTTTCAGGGGCAGTACGGCGATTGATAGGGGCACCGAAGGCAATTGCCGTCGGTGCCGTCGGTTAATTCGAGCCCTGATGACAACTACGCGCTGTGAAAATGTACGGTAAACAATTAATACACACATGATACACCATGAACGATATCTACACGCTACATGGTATCGATACCAATACGGTTAACTCTTACTAATACTAATACTATTCTACTGCTAATTTACTATGCTATACTACTACTTCATTGACCTGCGCACACTAGAAGAGTTTAACGTTGCTACCCTTCCCCCACATTGAGCTAATGCCATACATTACGTTGTTCAGTGTTATTAGTATTGTTTAAAGCAAAAGACTACCGAAAAGTTAGGCTGGGCCGTGGTTTTTCGCTACTTGCGAATATAAATTTGGGCTCCTTTTACATTTTTTTACTATACCTTTATATTACATTAATTTAATTTAATTTCATTTAATTAACATGAAGTAGACGACATTGGGAGTTGGAGTCCTGGTTAGCGGTTGGTGCTTGTTATTTATTTACGTGGTACTGTTATGCTGTGTTGCAGCATGATGCTGATTGTGTTTAATGCATAAAGTGGGCGATTGGTTCTGGCAGTTTTTTTATTCTTAGATGTGCAGAGTTGCCTGAGTTTTTGCTGAATTGTTTATCTTTTGCTTACAGGCATTTAAAGAACCCAGACGTAGCTCAAAAGATCGAGAAGCTGTTCACGTCTGGGCTCATTCAGATTCGCTAACGCTTGCGCTGTGCAGAGGTACTTAGCCAACTTTTACTGTGTCATAGTGGTGTGTGTTACGTTGCAACCGACTGCGTACACTTACAAGTCGTACGGAAGCCTCGCACCATTACAAATGTGTAGGAATCTGTTCGTATACAGAAGCGGACCACCAGCAACGGGTTTCTAATAAAATAATAGCCCCCTTGATTCCAGTCACGTTTGTCAGCGGATTTAATCAGTTATTAACAGTAAGCTGAAAACGTGTCAATATTTACTGTGTGAGTACTGTTAAGCACATGAAAGAAACTTCTTATTGGTGCTATACCTTACATTTCATCAACAGCGCATATTAGAAGGGGCATCGTGTATTGTTCAGTGAATGGCAGTCGTTCATCTGAGGATTAGTTATCCACGAGGTGGCGCCACGTGTTCATCTGACCCGTGCGTGCGTGTGACTATGAGCATGTGTGATTGCATTTTGTAAAGAAACATTGCAACTGTTGTGCGGCCTACTCTGTTTTCTGCAATCTATAAATGCATGTGAACCGACAAAACATTCTAATGACTATGGCAGATTCTATACAGATTCTGAGAATTAATGAGTAAGAACTCCTAATGAGTAAGTTGGGCCACCTCAGTTGGTTGCCTCACTGATACCCGGTGAATGTACGAATGAGGATGCGTACGTGTTAAATTAAAGTTATAATAGCAGTTTCATTCTGAATTTGCTTTGTGTTCTCCAAGGGGTGATAAATTTTTGGACAGACGCTGTCAGACGTCCCAAGTGTCCCGGTCTCACCGGGATCGTCCTGGTGCAACATGCTGGTCCCGGTGCCCCGTTAAGAGTCCAGAAAGTCCCGGTCGTCACATTTTTGAGTCATATTTTAAAATTTACATCCGTAAATTACTAAATTTGCCGTGGTCATTGCCACAAATGTCAAACACTTTTGTTTTCACAATAAATTTGCATTTTATTTTACATGTATACTTTATAAAAAATGGTGGTGCGCCGCGACAAACACATGTCGCAGCCCGCCACAACTTTTTTCTTGTTTTTGCGCACCGCGAAAAAACGGCGATGGACCATTATCACAAGTGCTCCCTTTCTTGGATTTTCCCAACCTGGTACATCTGGACGCTGTTGGCATGTAACACTTGGTAGTTTTTTTTAAAGATAGGTTTATATGTTTTGGCTGAGAATTTTTCCATGCTTGAAGCGTCATTGGTGGGGAAACAAAGGTAATGCCACTTGCGGTATATCATTATGTAACATGCATAAATAGTACAATAACATATTTCCTAAGATGGTTCTAGAAAGGTCTGTACTTGTTGTATTGTGTTGATCATTGGTAGTAGCTATGACCAGTGGCCATTGCTATTGGGATTCAGTAAATTAGGGTAAGCAAATTAATGATTGTCAGCTTAAACTGAACATTGGGTGCATATAATGAGCGATTGGCTTAAAAATCATACTTTGCCATTTAACATTAAAATAAATATACACCCAGTGCACCACGAATGGTTAATGTTGTGCCCTTCTCTGAAAGTGACTACATAGGACAAGATCACTATATTTTCTCACTTATACGTCATCCTGTTTTCGAATGCTTTTTTGTTCTGTTTGTAATTTGTTTGCTGTAAATGTGGGGACGGTCGCTGAAAACAACATTTCAAATAAATAGCAAACAGGAACTATTACTGTGTGGTTTCTTTTATTTGCACCAATTTACTTCCAGTCTATCCATCCGTTGCACTCAATAAAAATACATCAAACTACAAAATCGATCTGTACAATTAACAAATAGCAATATATTATATACTGTACTAGTTAGTATATACAAGGATAAATATATTGTGTCTGATGTGTTTCATCTATTTCCCATGTAGTGTGGTGATTGGCACCTCATAGACCAGGCTGTAGGTAGAAATCTGTGATGGATGAATGTTGTTGGCATGTAGGGTGTATATTATCTCTGACACGCAGCAGAGTACAGTTGGGATATGTGGGAGAAACATGATAATACTGTTTAGAACGAATGTATCCTAATAAAAACAAATAACTAAAAGGGCATACGTGTGTGTTCTAAGCATGGAGGTGATGTAGTTTGCTAGTTACTATGGTGACGGTTTGTGTTTTATCGGCAGTATCACAGATGAAGCCGTGGATCTTTATTAAAAACCGGTGTGGCATATACGTCTATCTGGGATTCTGTAATGTAACAACGACAATCTGTGCTAAGAATACTTGACATAAACCTGGCCCTTAATTACTCATCTGTGGCCAGTCACCGGATAACTACTGTCGCATCCCCATGCCTGTATACAATACTGACTGCGGTCTCATAGATTTAGTGTTATTTCCGCAATTATAAGGAGTTCACGGGGTTGGCAACGTTTGCTGGGAAATTTATTACAAGTGTTTTTTCACTACTCTCACTATAAGTAGTAATAGTACGACATTTAAATTGGCCGATTGCATGGTGTCGATAGCTGAAACCAACTACTAACATACGTGCAATCACTGAAACAAGGTCATGACGGTAGCATGGCAAAGATGGAGGAGTATTTTTTAATTACAGGAACGTTGCCGTAACTAGGCGGTTAACTGGGAGTTTTTCACGTTTGGTTTTGCAGTCGGCTACTGTTCAGTGTTAAATACGGCAAAATTTGTATTGTCAGAACGTGGCTTTTACGAGCTCGCATTTGAGTGTGGTATGGATGTTGTTAGAGATGTAGCATGGAAGACGTCTGTTCGCGCCTTCTATGGCCGTTCCAGTCTGATTGCATACCCTTGTACTGATTCCATACCGTTGTGGTCAAATAGAAGTTACACAGTCTACGACTGGACCATAGATTTAGAGAATCTGCACAAATTCGCGTAAAATTGTTTTAAATAACGTTGAAATTTCTATTAGAGACAGGGGATATTTTCCAATCATATAATCCTATTTAAAGGTAGTTTTCAACTTTTCCATACAATTTTTACGCTAATTGTCGCATATTCTTTTTATTTTATATACTTCTTGAATGTGCTCAGGCGGTAAAACAGTGATCATGTCATGACACTATATTTTGACACTCCGAATCATATGCAGTCGGAAAAGTTGACTATTAAACTGTAGCTGATGACGCGGTTAGTTTCACGCAGCTGCTAGCTCTAAGGAACGGTCATGTCACACAAGACTGTTTTAGTCTCGCAGCCATATCAGGCTTCCAGTCAGCAGAAGATTTCAATATTTACCATTTAGTTATCAGCAGCTGATATCGATTACAGACACCACGACTCCCCATAGCTACATCAAGAGTCATGCGGTTGATGTGGCACACAGGCTATTGTGACCACAGCCGGGGTCCAATCTAGCTCTAGATACATGTGATATCTTCTTTCCAACAGGTGGCAGCAGCTAATCAGTTCCCATCAATTTAACGCGGGTGGGAAGTGAAATGTTAGTCACAGAGACTACGAGCGAATGAACTGATACTGCCATACTGGTAACAAATATAGCTGCAGGGCGAAACTCGTGAAGGTTGTGGAAGCGCTCTAAATGGGGTTCGTTAGATTCCTATACCACAGGTGTTGCCACCTTCCTTATTTCACATAACATCATCATACTGTACACTCTGAAAATGAATAATATGCCGACTTTTAATATGCCGGGCGCTGTTCTGTGTGGTCTGTTTAAACCTATAGTAGGCAATAATTCCAAACTGTTGATCAATATTGGAATACTTCAAAATCGGAAATTCGCGGTAGTTTCCAAAAAGGAACCATTGGGGTAACCGATGCATTGTTGCTAGACACCGTAGAATGTCGACATGTTTCTCTCGCTCGTTTCTTTGCCACCAAACAGCGCTACAAGTTTACTGCATGCCCATGCAGGGCAAGAGAGGACAGCCCACACGATGTGCCGCTTGGAGTTCATTGCGTTCAGATCCTACTGGCCTGTTGCATGTTAGTAGATATCGTCTGAAAAGACAAAGCCCAAAAGGTCGTAAATATGACAAGGACCCTTAAGCGGGTTTTATTGGGGGTTCTTGTTGATTTTATTAGCTAGTGTTCCTAAACCTTACTGATATTGATTTCTTTTCTAGAAAGGATCGTTTCTTGGTCTAAATTGCGTTTTTTAGCGTTCACATCAAAGCAATTTACAACTAATTATAATTAAGCAAAAAACAACTAATGAACAAGCAATTAAACAAAAACAATGCACTCGATTGTTGGCTCACCCATGTAAACAGCCGGCAGTTCCGCTAGAAGAGTTACGGTTTTTGCGGGAAGTATTTTTGCATGCGTGTGTGCGTGTGTGTGTGTAGTGTGGTATGGATGTTGTTAGAGATGTAGCATGGAAGACGTCTGTTCGCGCCTTCTATGGCCGTTCCAGTCTGATTGCATACCCTTGTACTGATTCCATACCGTTGTGGTCAAATAGAAGTTACACAGTCTAAGACTGGACCATAGATTTAGAGAATCTGCACAAATTTGCGTAAAATTGTTTTAAATAACGTTGAAATTTCTATTAGAGACAGGGGAGTTTTTTCTAATCATATAATCCTATTTAAAGGTAGTTTTCAACTTTTCCATACAATTTTTACGCTAATTGTCGCATATTCTTTTTATTTTATGTACTTCTTGAATGTGCTCAGGCGGTAAAACAGTGATCATGTCATGACACTATATTTTGACACTCCGAATCATATGCAGTCGGAAAAGTTGACTATTAAACTGTAGCTGATGACGCGGTTAGTTTCACGCAGCTGCTAGCTCTAAGGAACGGTCATGTCACACAAGACTGTTTTAGTCTCGCAGCCATATCAGGCTTCCAGTCAGCAGAAGATTTCAATATTTACCATTTAGTTATCAGCAGCTGATATCGATTACAGACACCACGACTCCCCATAGCTACATCAAGAGTCATGCGGTTGATGTGGCACACAGGCTATTGTGACCACAGCCGGGGTCCAATCTAGCTCTAGATACATGTGATATCTTCTTTCCAACAGGTGGCAGCAGCTAATCAGTTCCCATCAATTTAAAGCGGGTGGTAAGTGAAATGTTAGTCGCAGAGACTACGAGCGAATGAACTGATACTGCCATACTGGTAACAATTATAGCTGCAGGGCGAAACTCGTGAAGGTTGTGGAAGCGCTCTAAATGGGGCTCGTTAGATTCCTATACCACAGGTGTTGCCACCTTCCTTATTTCACATAACATCATCATACTGTACAATCTGAAAATGAATAATATGCCGACTTTTAATATGCCGGGCGCTGTTCTGTGTGGTCTGTTTAAACGTATAGTAGGCAATAATTCCAAACTGTTGATCAATATTGTAATACTTCAAGATCGGAAATTCGCGGTAGTTTCCTAAAAGGAACCATTGGGGTAACCGATGCATTGTTGCTAGACACCGTAGAATGACGAAATGTTTCTCTCGCTCGTTTCTTTGCCACCAAACAGCGCTACAAGTTTACTGCATGCCCATGCAGGGCAAGAGAGGACAGCCCACACGATGTGCCGCTTGGAGTTCATTGCGTTCAGATCCTACTGGCCTGTTGCATGTTAGTAGATGTCGTCTGAAAAGACAAAGCCCAAAAGGTCGTAAATATGACAAGGACCCTTAAGCGGGTTTTATTGGGGGTTCTTGTTGATTTTATTAGCTAGTGTTCCTAAACCTTACTGATATTGATTTCTTTTCTAGAAAGGATCGTTTCTTGGTCTAAATTGCGTTTTTTAGCGTTCACATCAAAGCAATTTACAACTAATTATAATTAAGCAAAAAACAACTAATGAACAAGCAATTAAACAAAAACAATGCACTCGATTGTTGGCTCACCCATGTAAACAGCCGGCAGTTCCGCTAGAAGAGTTACGGTTTTTGCGGGAAGTATTTTTGCATGCGTGTGTGCGTGTGTGTGTGCGCGCGCGCGTGTGTGTGTGTGTGTGTGTGTGTGCGCGCGCGCATGTGTGTGTGTGTGTGTGTGCGCGCGCGCTCGTGTGTGTGTACGCGCGCGCGCGCGCGTGTGTATGTGTGCGTGCGTGCGTGTGTGTGTGTGCGCGCGCTGTGTGTTTCGTGTATAATGCCGCGCGTTATTCAATCGCGTTTATCAAGCGCGTTAGTTTATCTCGAAAAACCCCACTTTGGTGGGAAACCAGGCAGCTGGTGAGAAACATAATAATTGTAAATGAGCTGAACTGAATCCGGTTTGCTGGATGAGGTTAGTTTAAATCAAGAGTCGTGTTCGTAAGCCCTTCACGTGGCTCTCAACTAGAATTACAGTAGCGAGAGCAGCTGGGTGTGAATTGGTGAACAAGTAGGCCTGCTCTCGCGGGCGTGTTAAACGCCATTTATTGTAATAAGGCAAATCATGGCTAACAACCGTCATTATGTTGTTAACATGTGAAGACGTTGGTTGTTTCCGCAGTTTACCACGTTTAATTATTTCTGTTTAAGTAATGGTATCGAAGCTCTCTATAAACAGTGACAATGCAGAATAAAGCACCCATTCTGGCTGGCGACTATTTAGAAAACTGCTGCGGGCAAATGCGATAACGCATGCTGCTTTCAATAATCCTTATCCTATGTAAATAGTAATGATTTACCATATATATTTATGTAGTCGTAGCAGGACTAAATTCGTCGACATCAGCATATATATCTATTATCGCTTTAGCGGTGTATAAACATGGCAACAATGACTCATAATGGATGGTGTGTATTCTTTCTAAGCAGGCTCATTTTTACACAACACAGTTTTCTGTGCCTCGCATTATGACGGCCAGCATCATGGTTTCGACCACGATTTGATTTTTTGGAAAAGTAGGGAGATAGGGTATACCAATATAACTGGATATACAACAGCCCTGCTTAGTACATTGCCTGCGGGGCTTTCACAGAGGCCTGTAAAAGTTGTCACCCTGCTTAGGCGGGCAAGTTTTAATGTCGGGGAATTTTTCACGTTGAGAGCAATAAATATTTAGATCGTCTAATATAAACTTTGATGCTTCGATATACATAAAATTATTATGATGCTGATTAGTATGGACTTGCCGAATATCTCGCGGACATCATTCATTCTTATAAATTGATTATACGTCACGAATTTTCTATCATAATGGTGTATATTAAAAATTTTGTTGCAATTATTTACATGAAAAGTAAGTAGGAACGGGACTAAATGTATCCTCAAATTTTTGCCTGATAAGATTGTTTCTCAACTAGTTAAAAATATAAAAAAACTGGCCAATTTGATATATTGATCACGACATTAAATGCTTACTATATGGGCTATGTGTGAGTCACGAGTGTTTGTTCACATCGAACGGAATAAGAAAATAGGAAGTATAATGCAGCAATTTAACCATTAAAGGTGAACAGAATCACTTACATTTTGTGAAAAAGTGGACATGATTTTTTTTACTTTTACTATTTACGGTGACGTAATCACTTTAAAATCGTTGATGAGGTGCGTGCAGCAACGTTCATTAAATTACACTTCACTCTCGCTATTGCTAAACATTATTGCTGCGGTTATAAATTGCAAAGTGTTAGCGAACAAAAGCCCAATTGTGTGACACGTTCAATCAGTGAAACGTCCCTACAACGTTGTCGTGCATTAAAGCAGAATATATCCTGGAATTTTAATGACGATCGAATTGATCACTCAGAACTAAGCGAAATAACTCACAAAGGTTCGACGGAAACGCTTCAATTCAGCACGTCCAATTTTATGTAGAATTAGTGGAAATCTATTACGGGATTAAATCAGATTTAAGTTAATGTTTCATTTCAAGGATTTATGTTAATTTAATGTAAAGAACTACGGTTCCGTCAGAAATGTCGCTCCTGACCAGACACAAAGCAAATGACGTTAGTAGTTACACATAGTAAAACCTGGACATGAAAGTTTTCTTACGCAGGAGAATTGATTTTTGCATGATTTTGGTTGAGAGATTTTCAAAATTCTATGAGTAACCTGATTACCCGGCCTTTATTAAATAATAAACATTAGTGGGAATGCGTGAATTGCATCCTAATTACTTCTAGACGTTTCTCTTTGTCCCTCGCGTATACGGGAATCCGAATAAAATATCACACATTATAAAAATTTAATTCGTATCAGCAGCATTGTTTGCGAAAACATGCAATCTAAGATTTTCTATTATGGATTCTTGATTCAATATATCTCTGGAATTTCACACTAGTCCTTTTTTACAAAAATATGGAAACTTTGACAAAATAACCTCACAGTTGTTTCTATTCTATTTACGAATAACACGATGCGATTCTCTCTCCATGCTTACTCTCGTGCGTTACCTACCAGTGCGCCTACTAAATCTGCATCACTATATGTAGACTCGACTAGACCGGTTACTGATCGGTTCATCACTGCTGGACGTCGCCTGCTGAAAGGGTCCATACTCTGCATACAGAGGATCCGACGTAGCAGCAAAGTCCGGTAAAGATGGATCCGTGCCCACGAAAACATCGCCGTGGGGCTCATAGTTTACGGGACATTTATTAACGTCATTCGCACTGTCCAAATCGAGCCCGACTAACTCCTGTCCCGGATGCAACCGTTTGTAATTGACGCCAGGTGACGCTGCAGGCGCTTCGGCCGGCATGCGTCGCGGGATGTCATGGTGACCAGATTTGAAGCTGTTCGCCGGAAGCTTGCCGGCATTGCGTGCGCGCGTGCTGCCACGCGAGCCCCGACTCTTCCGACCTCCGGGCGACCTTGACCGCGACCTCCGCCGAGGTCGCATCGGCTCTCGGTTCGATTCGCTCGCAAAGCCCAAGCACTCGCCCTCCGGCACGTTCTCCAGAGGGCGCTGCACGAGCGAGTAATCGCCGTCACTGTTGTCGTCGTGAGTTCTGTTACCGACAGAGTCCAGCTGCAGCGAGTCTAGCAGCTCTGCTCGGGACTTCACGGATAGCGGCACGGACGCCATCGACCTCACGTTGGAGTCGCACGACCTCATCGTCGAGTTGTCGTGCGAGCGCATCGTCGAATTGTTGTTCGTGTTGCCAGGGGGCGCCATGAGCGTCGACGCGCCACTCGAGCAGGTGGAGTAGTGGCTGGGCGCTCCGGCGCCGCAGCTACACTCCACGTTGTTGTTGCACACGCAGCTGCTCGACGATGCCCGACTGTTTCTGTTCGACACTCGGCCGTCGTTGTGAGGCTGCTGCCCGCCGGCCTCCTGGCCGCCGCCCGCCTGCCCCTCCTGACTCTCCTCGCTGTTGCTCGTCTCCGGGAAACCGGAGTCGTGGTGGGGCTTCAGCGCCGAGGTCCCCAGCTTCACTCGGTTCCTCGGCCGACCTAGCGACCCGCTGAGCGATCCAGGTATCGCGCGGTCGGGGTGATCGAGAAGATGCGTGCTGTCTGCAGGCTCAGCCTCCTCGTCGGTGACCGCCCCTCGTAGATACTCCCCGCCCTCCTCCCGCTCCTCCTCGCCCTCCTCCTCGCCCTCCGCCTCGCAGTCCTCTTCGCAGTCCTCATCGCCGTCGCTATCGAGGCCGTTGAGCACGCTTGGATGCGTGTTGCTCTGATCAATCTCGATGCTGGAAGCTCGCCAGATGTAGTTTCTACTTGGTCTGCCGTCGATGAAAACCGACCTCACGGGCAGCTGAAAGAAAGTATATATTACCTGTTGTTATAGAGGTTTCTAATAAGGAAACGCCACATGAGCGCCTACAGATTTCCTTCGGAAGGTCGAGATTAATTCGCTGCTGCTTTCTCTCTCTCTCTCTCTCTCTCTCTCTCTCTCTCTCTCTCTCTCTCTCACTCTTTCTCTCTCCTCCCTCTCTCTCTCTTCTCTCTCATCTCTCTCTCTCTCTCTCATCTCTCTCTCTCTCTCTCTCTCTCTCTCTATCTATCTATCTCTCTCTCTCCCCTCTCTCTCTCTCTCTCTCTCTCTCTCTCTCTCTCTCTCTCTTCCCTCTGACCATTGCGTCTGTGTGTAATTGTATCTTTTGAGATCAGCAAGCTCCCTGTTGAGATCAAAAGCTCACAATACTATCAAATTAATTACTGCATAATATTAGCTACTGATACAAACTAGTATTAATATCGGTACTGTATTACAGCGAGGATTTAAACGCAGCGTGTTTCATTCACTCATTGTGGCTAGCTTTTATATTACAACATACCTATATGACTGAGTTACGCTATTCCTCTTATTTACTTTGGACAATTACTCAATTACTACATCACTATTTAACTGATAGAGACTGAATTTACCATTACTCTTCTATTACGATTACCATTACCATTACTATGAATCATTACCATTACCCATTCACTGATATTACTGATTACATTGATTACTATTACTTTCTTACTGATATAGATTATCTACATAGATTATATTGCAATTACATTACTATTCAATTACTATTACGAATAGTTTATATAGATAGTATTCTGCGCTCATTAATTGCTGAATATGCGAACTGTAATAATTGTTCTAACGCAATATCGTGATAAGCCTTAACATAGCAATATATAACGAAGACCGTACAATTGTTATAGGTTTACTCGCACTTCGTAATTAACTTGAGTAACGGCGCAGTCAACATATGCCTTAATTGTCACCGGGACAGCGGCAATTAGTATACGCGCTGTAAGGGCGTCGCTTCTCCCTTTATAGATATAGATATTTATCGGATAGACTAGATATTGCAGAGCTCATGATGAGCAAGCAATCAGGAAATGATCGCGTGGAGCGGCGAGGCTGCAGATAATCATAAGGCGTCAGCTGCGTCGTTATAGCTCATTACTACGGGCCGTTGTACTCTGTACTCATATTATACGCCTCCTCGCTATGCCTCACTGCGGAGAGCGAATAATTCAAATCAGCCGCTGCGGTCCGTATACACGTCTGAATCATATACGGTTTGACGCAGACATGCCAAGCCCGCTGGCTGCATCATAACCGCTGAGGCAAACAATGAACGAGGGTGGCTGATTGCATCATCAACCTTGCGTTTCATCACGAACGCATAACGGGCGAGACAATAATCAAACGAAGATCTCATCTAGTTAGGTACGACGCGCCGGTGTGTGGCAGTGTTGGCAAGCGAATACCAGATTGGTGCGGCGTAAAATAAATAGCCGAATGGATATATTCGTGTTTGGATCGATGATAGCATTTTTAGGTATTGATGGGCTTTCGGTACGGTTGTCTTTGTTAATTGTTGAGCTTATCACTCGCGAAACGTCATACAGTGAATATCGACTATGGTGAAGCTTTGTCGCCGTGGAATTCGATAAGTTTTAGCGAACGACAGTGTGCCGCTTTTTTTTAATTAACGATTTCGCATGTATTCACGGTCGCCCAGCTACTCCTGCATGAGGCCAGCGCCGCATGTCAGTCTGGCGGCTAATCGCGGTTCCCTGGAGGATCCGCGACCAGGGTGCGCGCGACAGACAGCCATTCTGTGAATATCGAAACAAAAATCGCCGTTTCTTACACACACATCTAGAAATCGAATTGCACTGTGATTGTGGGCGACAATAATAAGAAATAACTTGGATGTGAAATCACTTAGGACTTCAAAGACAATTATCGCTATACCAACATGGCGTATGACGGATGAGTACTTTATCGTACCAATGACAAACGTCGAAATGCTTTCCATTCAGCCGCCAGCGCGTTACGTTCTAATAATGAAGTTGAAGCCGTTTTGACCAGATATATTGGAACCGGTTAGCGGCGACCAGCCAAGAACACCCAAGTTATCCAAACCGCTTCCGCTACGCTGCGATGGCATCGTTTATTGTGTAATAGATGGCGCAACGGAAATCTGCGGACGGTATCACGTGATACAGCGGGGTAAATATAATCTGCAACTCCCACCGTCCACACGATACCGACATGTGGCTTTCCGTGCTACACGGTTTCTGATATAATTAATAGGCTGTACTAGACTGTTGAAGCGGACTCCTGGGGCAATGTATATCGGCACACAAGCATCTCCGCCGTTCTGAGTTCGTCTGAGGCAGACATTTACGCGTCTTCCCGTCTCTAGCGGAATCAGTGATATATATATATGATTATAAGTATATATATCATATAATACGCTCTCGGAGATTCTGCCACATGAGCAGTTTTCTATAACAAAAAAAAAATGCTGCTATGGGGTGAGACATCTCAGTCGCTGTCACGCGCCGCGCGCGGACGTCTCGCAAAATGCTTCAAACGCCACCTTACCTCCATTTCACTGCCGCACACATCCGGCAGGGAAGACTTCGCTTTGTACAGGGTCGAGTTGGCGCGTTGGCAACGTCGGCCCGGCTCCGTGGCAGGATGACGTCATCGCGTCGTTTTTTTCGCCTCCGACGTCTGCAAAGAGATCGTGCGCAGGCGGCGGTTAATGAACTGGAATACGACATATTAATGAGACGACGACACACGAACACGCGCGCGGCGCTCGAGTAGAGACTCTTCACGGATAGTATTGGAGGTGTTTGAGGTTTAGGATGCAACACGAGAGTCTCATTATAGCGCCGCGCCGGAGAGAGAATGTAGGAGGCACACGAGCCTGCTGACGTTGCATCGCCGATTGCCGCGCCTATATCGGCCCAGCGGCCACCGTGCGGCTGATTAGCAACGCCAGGAAGCCATATCTATCTACATACCTACCTATATATCTATCTATCTATCTATCATATCTATCTATCTATCTATCTATCTACTCTATACTATCTATCTATCTACTCTATCTATCTATCCGATCTATCTATCATTAATCATCTCTATCTATCTATCTATCTATATCATATTCTATCTACATACCTACCTATATATCTATCATATCTATCTATCTATCTATCCATTCTATCTATCTTCCTATTCTATCTATCGCTATCTATCTATCACTACTCTATCTATCTATCTATCTACTATCTATCTATCTATCTATCTATCTCATCTATCTATCTCCATCTATACTATTTCTATCTAATCTATCCATCGCATCTATCTCTCTGATTAATTTATCTATTATCTATCTATCTATCTATTCTATCTATCTATCATATTATTATCTATCTATCTATCTATCTAATCCATACTATCTACTTGCATTAGATTATCTAATTATCTATCTATCTATCTATCTATGCCATCTATCTATTGATTAATTATCTATCTACTCTATCTAGTCTATCCATTGCTACTATCGATTAATTATCTATTTATCTATCTATCTATCTATCTATCTATCTATCTCATCTAATCTACTCTATCTAAATCTTATTATCTATCTATCTATCTATCTATCTATCTATCTATCTATCTATCTATCTAATCTATCCTATCTATCTATCTATCTATCTATCCTATCATCTATCTATCTACCTAAACTACCTACCTACCTACCTACCTACTACCTACCTACCTACCTATCTATCTATCTATCTATCTAATCATATCTATCTACTCCAGTCTATCTATCTATCAATCCGTATAATCTATCTATCTATCTATCGTGTCGTCTATCTATCTAATCTATCATCATATTATTATCTAATCTATCTATCTATCTATCTAATCATATCTATCTATCTATCTATTCCTATCATTCTATCGGACTAATTACATCTACTCTATCTTATTTATCTATCGTATCTACTCTATCTATCTATCTATCTAATCTTATCTATCTATCTATTAATACTATACTATCTATCTATCTATCTATCTATTATTCTATCTATCTTATCTATCTATCTATCTATCTATCTATCATAATCTATCCTATCTATTCTATCTATACTATCTATCTATCTAATCTATCTATCTATCGTATCTATACTACTTATCTATTCTATCTATCTATCTAATCTATCTATCGTATCACTATCTACTCTATCTATCTATCTATCTATCTATCCATCAATTCTGTCTATCATCCATATATCTATCATCTCTATACTACTCTATACTGATCTATTCTATCTATCCTAATCTATATATATATATATATTTATCTATCTATCTATCTATCTATCTACCTCATCTATCAGTATCTATATCTACTATATACTATATATATATTATATAACTATCTATCTATCTACCATCTATCTATCGATTAATTATCTGTATATCTATCTATCTCATCGTATCATCTATCTATCTATCATCCGTATATCATATCTATCGATCTATACTATCTATCTATCTAATCTATCTAGTCTATCTATCTAGTCTATCTATCTATCTATTCTATATATCTAATTCTAATTTCTATCTTAATCTAATTTCTATCTAAAAAAAATTCTATCCATCTATCTATCGAGTAAATTAATCTGATTATCTATCTATCTTATACTATCTCATACTATTCCTATCTATCCATTTCCGTATATCTATCTATCG